AACTATCGAAAAATCAAAAAAGCAATTTTATGTAATATTTTGCCCATCAAAAGGTTCAATGATCCTTAGAATATTCCTTGAGTGAGATGTACTAATAACAAGCGTCGTATTCATAGCTCATGATTTGTTATGTGTGCGATTACAATGTTGCATCCTTATTTAGTTTGGTTTTTCTCTTTATGAAACTTTAATTTTAAAAAAATGCATTAAAAAATGTTGTTTTTTTTCTCTTATTAGACACAATGAAATTTTTATGAATATATTTGTCTATCATTATATTCGGAATTTTAGTGGTCTAATAGTTTTATATTATTGATCATAAATAGAATCTACAAGAATGTCTTTATCAAATTTATATTTCGTTCAATGTTTACTTATTTGATTAGAATAATTTTGACATGAAAAGAAATATTCTTGACTATTGTAAATAATTTACATCCGTTGATATTTGAACGATTAAAAATACTTGATATTACTTATCAGAATGTTTTTGATGCTCATTATTCGACTACTATACGAAAATATTCACGTCGCCTTTAACTAAATGGTAAGTTAAGTTTTTTTATTTTTATGTAATAACTCAAATTGATAAATACTCAAAAGTTATTAATCTATGAAAGGATTCTCTTGGATAAGATGATCATCTTTCATTTATAAAAGTCACCTATACCTTTTTGTAGAGTAATTTGTGGCAGATAGAATGCTATATAGGAACTGCTTTTTCATCAAGTTTTAATGTTCTGAGAAGTTCTATACCAGGTAAAGAATATTATTGTAGCAATTGTAGATGATATGACCAAACTTTAGGACTCAATGTGTCTCATCTTCCATCATATATGTCATAATACTAACAATAACTTTCATCGTACTCAAAACTTTAGTATTTTTACTAGTTTCTGTAATTGACGTTTTAAAACCTTCAATACTGTTTCTGAGGGCAAAGACGACCAACCATGTAACTTTCTCAGAAATTATGTGCCACAACGCTCTATAAGTATATCAATGGATTATCCTCTGAATCGATGTGTGTCATGGTCAAATCAACCAGTCAATGCATAAAAAAGACCAATTTTTTAATTGCGAAGGACAGAAAAGTATACGAGTTTTACAATAAATATTTTTTGAATGAAACAGTTTCTATCAATAAAAATAAGTTGATCATGACATAAATGGATCTTTCAAGAATAGCAAAAAATTGTTCGCTATCAGATTCCTTGATGGAGTACGGGAATGTATTATCAAGAAGATTAGTTTTTATTTTATCTTATTCCTTACGATTTTAGATTCTGAGTAGTCGAATGTGATTAGAGTATAGAGCTCTATTATATTCAATATATATTCGGTCTCTTATGAGAATTAAAAATTTTGCATATCTCTATATCCTTCTCCAGGGATTCGAAAGTAAAAAATTTTGTTTTCCATTTTGGAAACATCCATTTATGTCAAATGATTAGGCCATGATGGACTTACTATTAATAGATAGAAACATTTTCCACTCAAAAAAGTATTTATCGTAAAACTTGTATACTTTTCTGTTCTTAGGAAGCGAAAAATTGGCATTATTTTAGGCATTAATTAGCCGGTTTGATCATGACACAACAATTCAGAAGAGACTCAATTGGTATATCTATAGAGCGTGATGGCAGATAATTTCTGAGAAAGTTGCATGGTTGTTCACCTTTGTTCCTAGAAGTAGTATCGAAGAATTTAAAATATCATAAAAGTCAAAAATTACAGAAACTGATAAAAATGCTAAAATTTTGAGTAGGACGAAAGCTATTGTGAGTATTATTAAATATGCACGATTGAAGACGAAACAAAACTTCATTGAAATAACTTTAAATAAAATTTGGTCATGCCACCTACGATTGCTATAGTATCCCTTAACTAGTATATGACTTCTCAAACACATTAAAACTTGATGAAAAAGCAACTTTCAACATACCATTCGATACGGTACGAGTTGCTCTACAAACCGGTTTCGATAACTTTTCAAATGAAGGATGGTCATCTTATTCGACGGGATTCTTTATCGATTTATTTGAATTATTTTTTTCTCTCTAAAGTAAAAATATCAATAAGTTGAAGAAGTAAAATGTATGAACTAGAGTTCTTTAAAACATAATATCTACTTAGATAAATAACAAAGTTAAACGACAAAATTCTCCATGAAAACTCTCGAATTAAATAGTTTGTTAATCTTGATTTTGAGAATAAAAATAATTGTTTGTCATATTGAATCTCTAGAATACTTTAATTATACTAACAATAAACATACTTTGTTTAGTGTTTCTTCTTTCCTGTTATTCGCATTTGAATAATATTTATAAATTTCTTAATAAGCAATCGAAATTATGGTATAACTTGAACGCACTAGATTGGATCAAGTAATAGAGAGATTCTTCATTGTGCTCTCAAAAAAAAAAATTTAGTCTTCATTTGTAAATTTAACTCGACTTTTATATAGTATTATTCATGCCACAAATTTCTACTTTTAATAGTCAACACATTTTAATTACAACATACTCTTCTGTTTCTTTATCATACAACAAATTAACTTTACTGATGATTTTTATAAATCCTTGTCTTTCCATTATGTAACTTTTTATAATAGTTAATGAAAAAGTTGATCACTCATAAAAAAAAACCTTATTAGCACAACCTTTTAAAACTAAATTGTAAAACTTACATGCTTCATATAAGCTAAGAAATAATTTAGTAGATTAATAATTGAAGTAAAGAAAATAAAAAATATTTCATACTGATCAATATAGTACTTATTTCTATGACGTGTTTGTCTGTAAAAGGAGAAGGAAGTCAAAAAATCTTATTATACATTTACACTCACATTTTAATATTTGAATTACATTATGAGTCAGATATATTTCGTAATAGAATGAAATTTACGAAAGATTTCAATATACTTGCAAGTTTCTTTTTCTTTCTCAATGTTTTTTTTTGTATTACTTTCAACTATATTTACTTTAATTATTTTCATTTTAAAAAAAATAAACCGTAAAAGTTTAATTTCCTCGCAGCAATCAACTAAAGGCATAAATTCTTTTCATGATATTCATAACTCATTTAAATCTATATAATGAATCGAGTCTTGACTCAAAAGTAATTTATTAATTGAAGGACTTCACTCGTTCGTCTTAGGGAAAAAAAATACATTCTCATGATATTCACTTTTGTTTACTTAATGTATCTTCGAAAAGTTAATTAATAATTTTCTTTAGATCATTGAAAGCATTTATACGATTACTGCCCTATTTTCAACGACATACAACATTGTTTTTACGAAGAATGATATATTTGAATAATTCATGAAGAAAAATTATATATTAATCAAATACTATCTGATCATTGTAATGCATTTATAATTCAATTGTTCATCTGTGACTATTAATAAATGTTTTCTTCATTGATTTTGAAAACAACTTACAGTGAATTATTTGTCATCTCTTCTGCAAATTATATTGCATTTAATTTTTGTTTCAATTTATTAGAAAGAAACAGAACATAGAAAATCATAGATATATATGAACTGGAATTATTTTTTTTTTTTTTGTTTTTTGTAGATTTTATTATTTATCATGGCATCGCGAGGTCCACCAACGAAAGTTCAAAAAGTTATGGTTCAACCAATTAATTTGATCTTTCGATATTTACAAAATCGATCACGTATACAAGTTTGGTTATATGAACAAACAACAACACGTATTGAAGGTTATATAATTGGCTTTGATGAATATATGAATCTTGTTTTGGATGATGCTGAGGAAATTTCATTAAAAAAAAATCCACCAAAAAAAATTGGTAGAATTTTACTTAAAGGTGATAATATTAGTTTAATTCAACAAATACAACCAACTGGAACACATACTTAAAATCAAGGTCAAATGTATGAATGAATGAAAAAAAAAAACGAAAGAAAAGTTTCTTTGTGAGTGTGTGTGTAGTCACTTGTTTTATACATTCTCTAGTTTTTTCTTTTTCGTTGTATTCAAACAAAGAGAATAAACGTGCTGATTATTGTTGTTATTAAAATTATTCTTGTTTCATTTTGTTTCTTTTTTCTTGATTAAGTCATATAGATCATGAGTTTTGATAGGGATAGATAACGAAGAAAAAAAAGGTAATAGTTGTTTGAGACATAAAATTAGAAAATAAGTGTGAGAACTCTATGAGTTACCCTTGACAAAAAATTTTTTTCTTTCATCTTAATCGTATCATAACAAAAAATACAAAAAAAAAATTCATAACTAACTACATTAAGACTTCTGTATACATATATAAATATATATATATATCTGAATTTACTTTGCAGAAATATCGTGACTTGTATTTACAAACATTTATTAAATACATAAATTAAGTAACACATGATTAATAGAAACAATATGAGTGTATGAATCAAATGTTAATTTTACACGAAATTGACATTTTGACATCATAGTTAGTCACTTGTGATTCGGTGAGTAATAAAATAAATATACAATCTAAATATATTCTAAATCATCATGTTCATTTTAACCTCAGCATGACTTTTTGAACTTCAATGGGAACGCTTTTGATTTAGTTTCTCGCTTGAAACATTCGCTCCAATAGAAGTAATCAAAAAACATACACTATTTTATGATATTGAAATATGTATAATTTGGCTTCACATACTACTTAAGGCTATTGATTTTTCATTTTGTGATTGTTATAAATGTAAAATCACCTATAGGGCTGTCTGGTTATTATTTTTTTTTTGTTAATATATTTTCAATCGCTCTCGCTTTGTAATAGTCATGCAGGTCGTTTTCGATAATGCTATCGAAGAAATATTTAATTTCGTATTAAAGATAAATTCTGCTTGCATGGCTATTCTTTTTGGAAATTCACTGCTATTAGTAATAAAAAAATTTTTAATACTTGAAATGCTCTTTTTTTTTCATATTTTTTTAGACGAATATATTTTGTTTCATTAAATCAAAAAAACAGGATACATTATTATGGATCAACCTGTTAGCAATTCGAGTCGTTCAACATATAGAGGCTCGCATATATTTAGTTTTGCTGCTAAACGTACTGGTCTACCGATTGATCAATTCAATTTTCTTACTGCTGAAATATTGGCATTAATTTTTGCTATATGTTTTCGAAACTATTTACCACCTAAACCGAATAATTTACTTAAAAGACATCTAATTGGTAAGATATTTTCTCGAAAATATCATTTTATTATTTTAATTAAGAAAAAATAAACAAAAAAAAAAATGTTTCGAAGATTTGACGAACCCATTCCTCGAAATAGAAGATCCATCTATATGGATCGATGTAAGAGACTTATTAGAAGTCCTAAAGCTTTAATTATGTCACGATAATTTCGTTTTTTTTAGTAAAGCCTTGTAGATACTATTAAATTAGTCTTAGTTAGGCGCCGTCTGTGTATCAAAAAATATTTCTTCTGACGTTAAATATTCATGATTGAGAATAATTTCCAGAAATTACTTTCATTTTTTATCGATGGTTAAAATCATAGTCACTATGTACTCGGTGACCCGCCGCTTTGTCTCAGAACCAGTATTTAAACATTATCACAGATTAACAAATTCATCATTTGTTCTGCTCGTAATATCATGATACGATGTAGTTGTATGAGTCTTCTCTTCGCTGATACCTACACTAGTATCCTCGAGCCCTGCCTGGGTATGATCTTATATCCGGATTCGAACCGGCAATTAATGAGATAACAATGTTTTTGAAATATTTTTACTTTTTCAAACTGCTAATTTATAGAAGATTATAGGAGTGAAAATCTACGCAATTTGTTGTACTTGAGAATAGGTCACAGCAGTGAAAAGTAATGTTATTTTACTAAAAGAATTCTTTTTCTCATCTACAAATGATGATGAACCACATGACGAGATAATTGAATACATGGAAAGGAAAATAGATTATCAAAAAAAAGTGAACATATATTATCATGATGGAAAAAGCATGAAGATATATATATATATCCACAACTACATTCCATTCCAATGTCATCAGCAACAAGTAAACATATACTTAGCGAAATTGATCGAATTTTAGAAGTAGGAAGACACCAATTGAATCACTTTTGTGTAAAATTTGAGATAATCTCTCTTTGTTTTTGTTGCTGTTTGGTTTAGATGAACTTGTAGATCGTTCTAGGTAGGATCGAAGGTTTCGAAAAAAAAAATTATGATAAGAGGCACGATTATCCATGCTATCGATAGCCGTTATGATCGGCAATATTAGTCTGTAATTTCATAACACGAAGTGAATAATTCAAAACAAAATTTTAATTCCACTGATTGTTTCATGACGAAAGAGTGAAGATTTATTTATGTTCAAAGCACTACTACTACGCATACAACGTATATTTTTAAGATTATAACAGATTTTTATAGAAGATTCTGTTATATAATCACCGAAGACTTGATATGCTTTAATTTCAAATAGCAAAAGTATTGATTTTCGATCGATAACTAAAAACATATACTTTCTTTTTTAGCAAGTCTTCTTGGCATTGCACTTGGTCAACTTTGTTTCGGTTCACAAATATGGCATTTAATTTTACAATCATGTATTTCATATTTAATGCTTTGTATTATTCCTCGAAAACATTCCTATAAAGTTGTTTTCGTTTTTTGTATGGCCTATATGAGTGCTAGTAAGTTATTTATTTAAATATTTTTTGTTTTTGATAAAACAACAAAACAAACATGATTTATATTTTAGTTCATATTCATCGTATAATATATGATTATGGAAATTATACACTTGATATAAGTGGACCATTAATGATTAATACACAAAAATTAACAGCACTTGCTTTTGCATTTTATGATGGTTATCGTTCACAACAACGTGCTAAACGTCGTCGACCTGATGATGATAAAGATTGTTCACCATTAAATGATGATCAAGAACAACAAAAAATTGTTGATATTCCACATCCAATTGAATTTTTAAGTTATGTTTTTTATTTTCATGGAATATGTGTTGGTCCATTATGTTTTTATAAAGATTATATTGATTATATTGAAGGACGAAATTTACTTGTTATACCAACAAGTACAATACAACAAACAGAAACACAAGATATATCGGATGAATATCATTCTGAAACAATGCAACCATCAATATTTTGGCCTGTATTTAGTAAACTTTCTCAATGTGCTCTATGGGGTTATATACTTTTGCAATTTACACCATATTATACAATTGAATATAATTTAAGTAAAGAAATGGTTAATTCACCATTTTTTCAACGATTACTATATTTATTATTTTCAACATTTTGTAGTCGAGCAAAGTAAATTTTAAATAAAATAAAAAGAAAAGAAAGAATTTCTGTTTAATATTCTTAGATATTATTTTGCATTTATTCTATCGGAAGCTGTTAATAATGCTGGTGGTCTTGGTTTTAATGGTCTTGATGAAAAAGGACGACCAAAATGGGATCTTTTAACAAATATTAAACCATTCAAATTAGAAACAGCTACAAGTTTAAAAGTTGTTTTAGATTTATGGAATATGCGTAAGAATATATCTATATATAACAGATGAACCGAACGTTTTTCAGACAAAATATTAGTTCGTTTTTGACTTTCTTGAAAGTATTTCCAAGAAATCAAAATCTATGAATTAGGACCAGCGTATTGTGTACACCTTTTTTTTTTCGCACACTTGTGATTTCGGTAATAGACTAACTATTTTGATTGAAATTTTCAGAATATTGTAAGGATCATGAAATTTATTTTTGGGACAAATTTTAGATTGAGATTCCTCGATTTGGTTTTACTCGTAATATTCTGAAATTCAGTACAACTATAGGCACTTTGCCAAGAGCTTCTTCCTATACAAAAACGTCTTGTTATCAGAAAATTAATTTCTTTAAAATTAAAGTGATGTAAAGAAAAACAAAAAGAAAATTTCAATAGAATAGCTTCTGGTCTACAAGTTGATATTTAATAAAGATGATTACATTTACTTTCGAGTTGCAATAATCAAAGTAGAAAAGTGTATAGAAAAATTTTTCGTCCAAACTATTTTTTTTTTGATGGTCTTTCAAAAGATTATTTAATTGGTCTATATTGTCAAGATAATCGAAAATCAACAAACATTTTGTCTAAAAAAACTTTCGGTTCATCAGTTAAATCAATAAAAATTTCTATTGATTTTGATGGTTATATATATATATGTAGAAACGGTTTTATGGCTTCGACGTATTTGTTATGATCGACTAGGAAATTGGCGAACAATAGGTGTTTTTGTACTTTCTGCTATTTGGGTAAGAAAATAAAAAAAAATAACGTTGATATAATTCAAATATTAAATATATAAATCCAAGTTAAACATTATCTCATGAAGAATAACTATAAGATTAGTTTGTCTTGAGATCTCAAAAGACTAGAAACAATTTAAAGTATGAAAAAAGAAAAATATCGATCTCATGAGAACTTTAAAAATCTTACAAATGAGAAATGTTTATATAAGATCATATTTCAAAAGTACTTATTTTATTATTCTTGCGTGATATATATTAGATAAGAACATGGAATATCTGATTCTAACTATAGTAAAATAAATATCACAGTATCTAAAACGTGTTAAAAAGTTTTTCACAGGTGACATGTTGAAAACTCGCATGATTACTAGATGATTATTATAACTGTAGATAAAATGCTATGGTTACTATCTTAAAGGTGTTATTAATCTTTTCTATCATCTTAACTAAGAGTCTATGTTATCTCATTATGAATTTACAATTATACAAATTTAAAATTGATTTAAAAATTTATGAATTAATAATATGTTCTTTCCTTTTTAATTCTCCTTTTATTCTATCAATAGAACTATAGTAGAATTTTTGAAAAACAAAATGAAATATATCAATCATCGAAAGCAAGCAATTCCATATGGATATCAACTAGTATAATAAACATAATAAAAAACAAAACCACAGATGGATCATGTCTTTATAAACCATCAACCAATTATATTTCGAGTTTTTTATATTTATAATTGCATCGACAATCTCTATTGGGGATTTTTATTCAAACAGAATTATTCATTCATTCAAAAAAAAATAACACACAATGTCTAACTATTGTATATATTTTTTTCATTCGATACAAATAATAGAATTGCTATATAGAAATTGACAATTAATAAATTTGAAATCGTAATTGGTTTTTGTTTTGTTCTAGCATGGTTTCTATCCTGGTTATTACGCATGTTTTGTTTTGGCTGCTTTTGAAACATATGCTGGTCGTGGTATTCGTCGTCAAATTCGTCCATATTTTCAAAAGAATGAAATATTAAAAATTATCTATGCATGTATAACATGGATTGGTACTCAAATAGCATTAAATTTTGCTGTAGTACCATTTGTTTTAATGGAAGTTGCAAAAGTTTGGTATTTTTATAAAACATGGTATTTTATTGTACCTATTACATCGGTTATACTTTCATTAACATTACGTGGAGCAAGTACAAAACAAAAAGACACGGAAAAGAAGAAGTCAAATTAAAAAAAAAAAACAGAAAACAAAAAACAAAAACCAAACGAAACAATTTGTTTTCTTATACTGATGTGTTTCTTTTTTTACAAACTTTCCTTTTTTTTTTATCTTCTTCTTCTTCTTCTTCTTCTTCTTCTTCATTTTCCTTATTGTACTCTTTAATACATTTTTTTCTTCTTGGTATTATATACTTTAATAGAATCACGAAAGCAGAAAAATTTGCTAAAAAACAAAAATGCATTACAAACATTCATCAGGTATTGTATTCAAAGTGTTTTAGCGTACATCCTGTGTATGTGTGCATGCGTGTGAGAAAAGATCGAACGTGCTCTGAGAAAAGGTTGTTCGTTTTACTTCCTTTCTATATATCTCATCTCACAATGAAGGTCATTCATACATATCAGTATTTCGAGTAAAGTATAAGAAAGAAAAAGATGAACAACGAACAAAAAATTCCTCGGGTTTTTTCTTCTTCTTCTTCTCTTATCATTCTATCGTTTTTTTTATGATTGAACTTGCGTAATAACATCAATCGTCGTTAACAAGGTGCAAAGACTTCATCATATACATATATATATATGTATATGTACTCAAGGATCATTGATCAACGTATTTGTATCAGGTCAGAATGATGCTCGAATGAATCTCAATATTTAAATAAAAATGATTCGCTTTTCGAGGGCTTTAGTAAAATAATAGCACGTCTATTCTTTATGTCAGAAAGAATGTATATTATATATATATATATATATATATGTATGCGGTTGGTTCTGAAAAACCGTGCCTTTTCTTCTCATTCTTCGATACTGATTCTTTCTCGACATCAAAAAAAAAACGAAACAGAAAGAGAAAGAAAAAAGTGGGCATAGCAATGTTTGATTGTTGATATCCCTAGAGAGATTCAAAAAAAAACAGCAAAAAAGACCGACACAGTCGTCGTAGCATTTTTATTCTCTCTCTCTCCCTTTTCCCACTGTGCCGGTGCATTCTCACGAGTCTGTAAAAAGAATTTTCTTATACTCTCGTTCGTTCTCTCTTATGCAAATATGTTTCCATTGCTAGAGAGAAAGAGAGAAGTAGTATCACTTTAATCATACTCACTCACGGTAGTTAGTAGTTGCACTGACGGAATGAAGAAGAGAGAGAGAGAGAGAGAGAGAGTCAAGAATAAGAGATATTGTTATGATAAAAAACAGAATTTATTACGAGAACAAATAGAAATTCGACGTTGAGTTGAGCACTCGCACATAAATCAAGAGTCATGAACAGAAACTATCAATCTTAGTCGGTTGGTTTTTTATGAACTTTAACAAGAAAGTAGACAGTCAAAATTTCAATTTGAGTGTAGAGTCTATGCATATACGATAGGATACAAAGAAATCGGATCTGTAGAAAGTAAATCTTCGGTAATATCGTGTCAATAACACGTACGTACCAACTATTACTTCATGTAGATGTCTTCGAACGACTAAATTATTCTCTTTTCAATATGAGGTTTCAACTTTAGTCAGTTTTCTGGCTTTCTTTTTTTTTTGCTCCTACTTGTTGTTGTTGATATTTGACAAGAGATTAGTTTTTCTTCAAAGCTTCGTCATCGGTTTTTTTTTCCTTCTTCGTCTTCTCATACTATCAAACAATTTGATGACCTTCACCCGTACTTTATACATTTGTTACAACATTTTAACAAAATTTCATCACGATTTGATATCCGACAGTTCGAAATCTATAAGTATGTGTATAAATTCTTTTTTCTTTTTTTACAAAATATATACATGTCATTGTAACATAAAGATTTTTCTCTTCAATATAATGGTACTATTGTCATCATTCGCTTCATTTGTACATGTATGCTTGCATTCGCGAAACATGGTGCAATGACAACTATAAGCGAATAAAAGTGCGTGTGCATATAAGCGCTGTTGACAAAAAAAAAGAAAGCGAGAGAGAGGGCGAGCAGAGACGAGAGTAATGGCCGATCATAAATAGCAAATCTATAGATTGTTGCTTGCAAAGGCACAAGAACCGAAACCAATGCATTTCTCTCTCTCTGCCTCTTCCTTGTCGTTCTTCAAAAAACAGCTGCATCAACGGCTCATAGAGGCAGACGCAGCACCATACATAAAGCAATAGAACAGAGTAGAAGAAGAAAAAAAAAAAAAGAGAATCTCATTTTTTTTTGTGCGCTCGCCTGTTGCCTTTGCGTGTATATGTTGTTGTCAGCAGCAGTAGCAACAGCAGCAATAGAGTCGTAATAGTAGAAAACGAAGAAAAAAAAAAAAGAAGAGAATGAGAGAGAGAAAAAAAAAGTTATTTCATCAAAAATGGCATCGAGCCACTGTTGCCGTCATGTCATCCTTCGGTCTACGACTTGTACAAGTCGACAGGACAAATACAAGTTTTGGTGCTAAAAGGAAGTATTCGCCTACTAACGTCTTCTATAAGAAGGACGCACACAGACAGATGTAGACAGGTAAGAAAAAAAACCTTCGGATGCTATTGCTTGTATATATTTATATATTACCTTTGCACGTTTCTTTTTTTTTTTGTATACGTGTATGTGTGTATGTGTAAGAGTATCTTTAAGACCGTATAAAAAAAAGAAAGGAGGGAAGGAAAAAAAAACACCATATACGCATTTGTTGTTCGTGCAAGCAGTGAGCAATAGATAAAAAACACACACACATATGCAGAATAACGATTATTGACAGTTATTGAAACCATGTGAAGTAATTTTTTTCTTTTTTTTTTTTTCTTTGGTTCAAGAGGTAGGTTTCTTTTTTTTTTCTATTACTAAAAAACATTCAATTTTGTTTATTTATTATTTAATCTAATTTCCTTTATCGGATGGATTAGTTGAGATTTTTTGACATAAACGAATTTATAAAATTAGCGTTCTTTCATCGTATCTATGCACGTCAACTATATAAATATATATATTTATTAATTGAGGAAAGTCACCATACAATCTATCCAGTTCTTTTTACCATATATATATATATATATGTCTGTCGTATAACCTTGTGCTTGTCTTATTGTCATCGCTTATGTTTTCTGCGCGTATGTCTTTGTTCATTATTTATCTGTCGTTTTGCATCTATTCCGTCTATCGACTTTTTTTTTAAGGCAATGATATAGAAAAATAATGACAGTAATATAAACAGAATTTAATGAAAGAATAAAGAAAAAGAAAATAATATTAGATAAATATTGTTCAATGAACCGATTTATTGAATATCGAGCATACAAATATAGAGCCTATTAGAAATAGTACAATATTTGATGTTGTTTTCTATTTTTTTATTTTTTTTATTAATCTGTCTACTCGTGTATATATATATATATAGATATATATATATATGTCTGTGATGATCGAACATGAAATAATTTTAACATTTTGACGTTATTTTACCGATGAGAAAGGAAAAAAAAGAAAAAGACGAGAGGAAAAGAAAAGTACACGTACAAATATCAATTGCGAAGAAAACTGAAAAAAAAAAAAAGAAATGATGGCAGTTCTCTTACATATATATATACAATGCAATGGTGTTACGTCGACAGAGAGGAACTTGGAGCGTCGACAATGCTGTTCTTTTTTTTTTTCTTCTTTTTCCCTTCTGTTATTGGTGTAGTGCTGTATTTGACACATGAGCGTGAGTAGTTGTGCTCGTCTCTTTTTCTCTTCATCTCGTGCCGATGAAATGAATGAGAAGAAGCAAATGAGTCCTTGTTACTTACGTTGAGTGGCTTGCATGCCAATGATCACTGATCGTTGCTAACCGGTTTTCGTATTTTCTCGCATTAAATTTATGCATCATTGCTATTTCGGTATATTTGCTTACGTTACTCCTGCTGTGTCCTGCTTTCTTTTTTTTTTCTTCGTATGACAAGTAGAAGTCCTTGTTCGAGCACTTCTATCACAATCGGATCCGATTACCGTCTATATATATATGTTCGCACACGAGTCTCTTTTACTTCAGTTACTGCCTCCCATCTCTGCAATAAAAAAAAAGAAGAAAGAAACCTTCATTAAGAGTCCTATCTGTACATTTTATCGCTTGCCTCCAGCAATGGTAGATGCGTTTACATACTAGTAGAAAACTAAAACAACAAAATGATTTATATCGACCTTGCATCTAAGACAGCACTTTTTTTTTTCTTCGATTGCAGAAAAAAGAAAAAAAAACCAGGCAAGTTCTATATTTATATTAAAATAATTATTCATGGTATAATATTTATTTGTTAGATAGATATTACAGGAAAACCTATATAAATATATCTTAAGAAGAATGAGATGCATGCTTGAGTTCAAACACATACAATAAACGCATGATTTATGGTGCACAATGCGTGAATAAAATGTATAGTAGGTAACAGAGATGAATAGAATGGCATGCCAAGTAAAAAAAAAGAAAAAGAAAAGAAAGAAGAAGAAGAAGAAGAAAAAAAAGTAAATAGTATAGAACTATAGAGAAAATTAAGAACTATATTTCTTATTGGTATTGATGCTGTTGTTGTTGTTTTCAAGATCGTATTTTTCTGATAATTATTCATTGTATGACGTGCAATTTTTTTTGTCTATATCCATCATAACAACAACAATAACAGCAAGAATATCTCTCATACTTCACCATTGCCATTATCAGAACTAACATCGATATTGATCAAATTACACTTCTATTCTAGATTTGTTTTTTTCTGCCACTCTTCTTCTAAATTTTTTTTTTTTTTCGTCTTGGATTTGTTTTTTTGTTCTACGAACACTCTTAATAGACTATAAAATGTCAACTACTCTCGACATCCTTCTTTGCTTTGCTATTCCACTATGTATAAAAAAATATATATATATACATTCATGTACATGTCTATGATGGTAGATTATTAATAGACTATGTCACGATGATACTGGTACTTGGCCGATTTTTTTCCTTTAATATTTTTCTTTTCTATCACAGCATATGTATATATATGTAAGATATATCTATAAATCTATTCTAGATGTTATACGACATAAGATCAACCTATTTTTCTTGATATATTCGTCTATATGCAATGAAGTCTTGACAATATACCATATCAATACTAACATATATAAACAAAAAAGAAAAACAGTGCTATACATCCAACAAACAGTGAACCTTGTAAATGTCTTTCAGTTTTACCGCAACGCCAACCGATCCACACGGCGCTCATCATTCGTCACCGAACAGTATGCATCATCAACAGTATATAACACCATTACCAGGTTCATCATCATCATCAACAGGAGGATCTCCAACAACAGCTGCACAAGTACAAGCAGCAGCGGCTGCTGCTGCTGCAGCTCAAGCAGCAGCTAATATGCCATTAATAGCATCAATAGCCAATGTCAAAGATTCACGTTGGCTTACACTTGAAGTATGTCGTGAATATCAACGTGGAAAATGTACCCGGTCCGAACAAGAATGTAAATTTGCTCATCCACCAACACATGTTGAAGTTAATAGTGGCAAAGTTATTGCTTGCTTTGATTCACTCAAGGTTTGTAATTTACATAGATAATATTCTATATGATTTTTGTTAATTCTACTCAAAATAGTACCTTTGAGATATGTATATATTTCTTAAAAAAAAAAGTTTTATTTCATAATAGTACTTATGATTATCATGTAGAACATTATATGATTATGTGTCGCAATTTCACAATAGCTAAGAAAAAAAAACTCATCAAAATAAATGTGTTTCTATTTTTTAATTTGTTTCATAATGTGAGATTACTTCTAAGGTGAAATTTAAAATGTATTCTAAATTTAGAAATAAAAGAAAAAGAAAGAATCTCTATGTAATTATCGTTCGAATTGAGCCAATAGATTTTCAAAAAAAATCCTTTCTATTTCGACTAAGGACATCTATCAAGTTACACACTATACTTATTATCAAATTGATTAAAATCATAAAGACAGAGGCCGATCATGTTCTTATTTATTTTGTTTATCTCATACGAACTATATTCTGTCTGAAGATTCATTGAGTATGTGTACAGCATCGAGCACGACCTTTAACATACGTTGGACACAATATATATATGAAGAACGACGAAATGATCTCTTTCTTTTGTTTTTTTTTAAATCAGCGTTTACACTTTTCATGCGTCTTATATTTTACTATATTGCATACGAACATTTCAACAAGCAATCAAGATAGAGAGAATAAGAGAGAAGAAAAAAAAAAAGACGAGTGACAAAGCTAGGGCTTCATATCAGTCATAGGAGAGAAAGAAGAAAAAAAAATCTACGCGAAGATATATATAGAGAGAGTAGACCGTACAATTCATATGTGTTGTGCTTTATACTTGACCGGTTATCATCTCTTATTTGTCTCTATTATCATCATTACTGATATATGAGAATTGAAGATTAGGAAAAAAAAAGAAAAGCAAATACGAGATTTTTAAATGCATTCTGAACAAGTAAGTTAGAAAAAACCAAAATAAAAATCTATTAGATATTTTATAATAAAATATACAACGAGAAAAATTCTTTTTCATTTTGATTTTATCTTATACACACATATAAAATACAAATTTTTTTTTTCTTTTCATTTGTTTTTTTTATCTTGACTAAAGAGTAATAACAAATGACAAATCACAAAAAATGTGATTGTAATGCATTTCTTTTATATCTTTATTTCCTATTGATAATTAAGTAATAAATTTCAATTGATTGTTTTTTCTTTTCTTCTATATTAATCTAGGGCAAATGCAATCGTACTAATCCACCATGTAAATATCTACATCCGCCTCAACATTTACGCGATATTTTACTTCAAAACGGACGCAACAATCTTATACTTCGTAGTATTGGTATATATTGAAATAAATTATGTTTGATTTTTTTTTTTTACTAATTTATTATTTTAGCTATGAATATTGCTGCTAATCAATCTATTTATCCACAAACGGCAGCTCATATGCCATATCATAACGGTGCTATTATACAAAATCCTATGCAACAACCTACTTCACTTGTAAGAAAATTTTTCTTTTTTCTTTGAAATTTTGCTTTCTTTTTTTTTCTTTCTATTAGCCATCTTATCATCATATTGGACCGACTGCTCCAGGTCAATCAGCATTATTATTCAATCCAGCTGGTCAAGCGTTTAGCATTCCTTTACATGCAGCTCATTTACAACAACTATCACAAGCTACACCTGGTACTCCTATGTTTAGTTCAGATGGTGCGCAATATTTTCAACCGGTGACACAATTAACAGCACAAGCAACTGGACAAAAACCAGCACGTACTGATCGTCTTGAAGTATGTATTTTTTTTCTTTTCTTTTTTTTAAATAAGAATCTATTTTTTATTTATTTTTCTTCACTCCCATTATTTCTTTTATATCCTCTTCTTTACGCAGTTTTGAGTGAGTTTCTGGTAAGTGGGATATGTAAATGTTTATCTAGCAGCCAGATACGCCAACCCATATATATTTATATTTATAATTGCTCCATCTGCACGCTGAAGCAGCTAGTTAAAAAAAAAAGCAAATAGAAAAAAAAACAACAATCAACAATGAGCAGCAGCAGCAACCTGCCAGCCAGCCATTTTTTCCTGCCCTTGTTTCTTTCGAATTCTAAGCTCTGTTTGGTTCACTAATCTGCTCTGAGCATTATACTTCAGCTCTTTATCTACCACGCGCCGCCATTATGCCAGCTGCTGTTGCTGCTCTCTTTACCATAGAAACCAAATCAACCAAATAAAAAAAATAAAAAAAATAAACGAAGCTCGTCGAAGCATGTATTTCGCTCATATTCATAAATACACATACACATATACACAAACACATCGCCCTAAATATTCACATTGCGCGTGCGCGTGCAGCTTTGTCCTTGTTATTTTGCTGCTCAATTTTTATATATATATATTGGTATCGTATATCTGTTCTACTCTACTTTAATTATGGTTATTATTGGTTTTGGTTAGAATTAAAAAAAAAAGAAGGAGCAGAAATACACATAAGATATCGTTATTATCCGAATTTCATTTCTATAGGTGTATCCAAACAGCAATTCCAATCATGATGCCTTAAAGGTTTGTTATATTATTATGATAGGTGTGGCATATCCTTTCTGTTGTACTTTATGTGCTTATTATATGACCTAATGCACCAATGAATTTCTTTTTGAGAGAAAAGAGGGATGAGGGAATGATTTTTATATGTTGTTTATCATTTCTGTCTTCCTTTTATATTAGATTTTTGGAGTAAATTCTAAACTGCATGAAAATATAACATGTTGACATCCATTTAAATGACTATTCTTTTGTTCCCCTACTAAAACCATATATCTGTATATCCCATTTAGTCATACCTTGATCTTGATATGCTATATGTAAGTGATGATTATTTTATTTGATAAATAAAAGCGAGTGCATATATATATCACAATATAACCTATAGCAAAACCAGAGGCCAGCTTGAATTTTATTTAGTATATGTATATATATATATATATATATAGTAGACACTATCTTTCACTTATCATTTATATTCTTTGTTGTGTATTTCTATTTTAACTATAATTTATATGTTGTGTATTATTTGGGCACTTGTGTTGTTATGGTTTTGTGCTTAGTATCTATGCATTTACACTTGTGGACTCTTGATATTCTTGCTTATTGCTTGCTTCTGTAGATGTTTTTGTTTTTTCTTTTTATATCTGAGCGCATGTTTTTTTTTTCTTGTTTGAACAGAACAAAATTTTTTTTGTTTTATTTTTGAAAGCAAAACATTTTTGTTTTTTTTTTTTATGGCAAAACATATTTCAATCCTATGTTTGGCTTTTCCTTGTGTTCAAAGCTTGCTTGTTTTTCCCCTATTATTATTTTATTTCTAGGTATGTTCAGATTTTCAGCATGGTCAATGTTTAAATACAGCTGATACATGTCCACTTGCACATCCGCAAACACATTGTCCACTTGATACAGATGGTCTTGTTATTGTTTGTGTTGATTATATTAAAGGAAAATGTATTCGTGATACATGCAAATATTTTCATCCACCTGAACATCTTGTTACACAATTAAAAGCTATTAAAGCACAATCAGCAGCAGTTGCTGCACAAGTTTTTTCTAATGCAACAGCAACTACTATTCAATATTCACCATCAACTTTACAATTTGTTCATCCTCTTACACTGAACAGTAGTCAGTCTATATTGGCTGCACCACATCCTACTACTTATACCTATCCTCAACGAACATCTACAGCACCTGCTTGTTCCTCGCCGTTGGTATGCTTTAAACTCCCACCTCTTGCACGCTTTATTGCTGCTTTAGTTTAATTGGTTTCTTTGTTTTCTTTTTTTTTTGATTAATTCTAATCAATCATATTTATTAAAACAAATTGAATAAGACATTTTTTTTTATTCTAATTGTTGTTTGTTTCTTCTAGCAACAACAGAATACTCATGAAGATGATGGATCATATGCAAATGGTTTTGTTTCATCATATCAACCATATCCAGGAGCTGCAATACAAACAATTTATACACAAACTGGATCAGTTGATTTAAAAGATGTAAAACAAAAATTTATCTTATAAAAATCAAATAAAAAATAAATCTCTATTTTTAGTCATTAATTAATTCAACAAATGGTGATACTATTGGTCGTAATGGTTCATCATCATCTTCATCATCATCATCAACAGGTGTTAAGGTTGGTAGATAAATTCTAGGATTGTTTTTTTCTTTTTCTTTTCTTTTTTATCTATTTTTTCATATAATAATGTCATTGTGCAGCAAGCAGTAGCCTTATTCTTTTCTGCCGCAGATGCCATTGCCTTCTGTGAACGTGACTTGTGATAATAATGGATGATATTGAGCTTAATATATAACAAAACAAAAACTATTTGTTTTAGTCGATCGCACGAAATTCTTGTTTTTTTTTTTTTTGTTGGTTATTTATCAATTTCTTTTAGAAGCCACATTTAAGCGTGCTTATAAAGCTTGTAAAATATAAAATTTAGCACGTCATA